CATTAAGGATCTTCTCAGAGGCAATAAGCTGGCTTGGAAGAGTTCTGAACTTCAAGGACATTCTCTCTACATGGAGCCAAGTTCAAACTTTGCAGTGCTGGAGATATATTACAGTTTTTCTGAAGGGAATGTGGCAGGCTCAGAGGATGAGAATGCTGATAAGCACAAGAGAGCTTCTGGGCTGCAATGTCTCCCAGTGCAGTTTATTTTCCAGTTTAGAGTGAAGTCCAACACTTGCTGCTTTTAAGGAGGAAACAAACTTTCCAGGACAGTTTTGGGTCTGATGGCTGTTACAGAAGTAGTATGCTTGAAATGCCCAGTGCCTAGGGATGAGTTCATGATATCTGATATGAGCACTTTGCAAAGCTTTGGAGTGCTACTTTCCAGCTTTAGTATTCATTATTTCAGTTTATATAATCTATAGGGAGATTTAAACCCATCCATTTGAGAATCTGCAAAGGGGCTTGTACTGCCTGGATTACATGGCAGTGATATCTGAAGGCTGCTAATGCACCAGGGGAACCAACCTTGGAATGAAAACAGGGAAGATCAAAATGTTCTGTCTTCCTTCAGTACTCTTGAGAGAAACACTAGGAAGATTTCCAAGGCATTTTTTATCCTGCTCTATATTATTCCTCATATTTATTCTCTCACTCCAGAAAGGGTGTCACAGGTGTTGTCACAGCTGGGGGACAGGCCTATGACTTCTAAGAAGTGCACTGTCACCTCACTTAGCATGTGAAGAGGATGCTTGATAATGTGTATGCTCAAGTTGCAACAAAGATTAGACCATCCTTCTGTTCCCTGGTTGCACAGTGTCAAGTGCCACACAGCCCCTGGTCCACGACTGGAGTTTTTATGTACTGAGTCTGTCACTGGAATAGACAGTAAAAATGAGACAGAGCTCCTCCAATAGTACACAGCCTATCAGGTGCAAATAATAAAATGTGAATGCTGCTTTAAGCAGCTGTCAAAGCAATGCTCCTGTTCTTCTCCCGCCTCTGTCTTTTGTGAGCGAGTTGAGAGGTTTGAGGGAAAGCAGGAATTACCCTGCATCTAGCACAAAAGGAAGAACAAGTACAAAGTTCTACATAAAAATTCATTGTAGAAGAGTGTGTGGGAGCAGTGGGAAAGCAGTGCCGAACCCTGGAGAGAGAAGGCTAAGGACAAAAGTAGGCCTATCAGTTTGTAGATGTGCTCTGAACAGATATGATCATAGCGCTGCCTCTGTTCTGGACTGGATGCTGGATAGCTATTTTGAGCAGTGCTACCAGTCCCACATGGTATTGCATTCAATTGCCTTTACTACCTGCTTCCTTAACAAAGGTTTTAGCTTGAGGATATCCCCTGATGCACCTCTTTATTGCAGTGGAACTCCATTGGCACTTCTCTGAATCAGTTTGTATTGGACAAGTAACCAGGACTTTCTGAGGAGGAAAGCTGGTTGTTTGGGTAGAACAAGACCACTGTCCCTCCACATATACAACAAAGGTGTTGAACGTGAACCCTGGGTGTTATTTTAGAGCTAGTCCCCATTCCCCAGATGCTCAGATCCATACATTTCTGAATAACTGATGTTACTTCATTAACAGTTGTTGCTGCACATTAATTACTTAATTTGAGGAAGTGTGTCTGTGAATATCTTTACGTACAGTAAATGGGAGAAGAGTAGATGCTGCTGGCTATTTTTTATCAAAGGTGTGTTAGGCAAAACAGACATGAAATGAGGAATGTAAGATTAAACATCTCAACCAGCCCTTGCTGTGCATCAAGGTGAATAACTGCACAAGAAGTAGGATTATTATTGAACAGCCTTGTGTTCCAATCTGGTAGTTCATTCAGGTTTTCTTGAGAGGAGAGGGGCCATATGCTGCTGTGAATGGACAGAAAGTAACTGCTCAACATGAGCCTTGCAACTTTGCAGTGGACTGTGGCAAGCCCTGGGGTTTACTGTTGTAGAGTGGTGACATACACAGTATAAAATCTGACATTAGTCAAATAATGAATTTGAAGGAGTAATGGACAGCGATCTATCTTCCAGCATTTCACTGTTAAATCTGCTCTGCCCAGAAGCTGGCATATTTATTATTCAAGAGGATCTGCCATGGCATTTGGATTCAGCTTAATCAAATGTTTTTGTTATAATGGGGAGGACTAAGAGCTGAGCAGAAAGACCATGAAATTATTTTTAAGACCAGTTTTCTTGCAGGAACTGCCTGTGTAGAAACAAACACTTTCATGTTTAATGCCATGTAAAGTGCTGTGTACAACAACTTGCTTAACTGAATGAGTAATGAGTAATATGAATGCGATATAATAATACAAAGATAACATAAAAACTCTTGAGACATTCATGACAAGAATCCCATCTTTTTGTCTCAGTGAATTTCAGAGTGCCTTAAGGGAACCTTTTTTCCAGAAGAAAAGCTGACTTACGAATTTTCCTATTATATCTAATTGTAAACAGAGATTCCCATAACAGAACTGACTTGAGAGTGCCTTCATCTCTTAAAATTGGATATCCACCCATGAGGATGTGTGACCTTGTTGCCAGATCATGTATTCAATGATTCTCTTTTGATTTTAAATCTGGTGCTCTCCTGGGATAATAGGTGGCTCTGTGGGGCTTACCAGTAAAGGAAAGAATAAGAAAATTATGTGGTAACCAAGCAAACAGGCAATAAAGATATGACTGCTTAGAGTTTCAAACCCCAGTTTTCAAAATCTTGGTGGAAAGAGTTAAATAGACTTGTAAATATACCTGTTGTAAGGCTTCTCCTGGCACCAAGTGACAAGCAGTCTGTTTGGATGCATAAGGGCACAAATCTGTAGAACATCTGGAATCCCAACAGAGATTAAACAAAGATAACATTGTCTGCGTGTTAGCTGTGCACACAGAAACTTCTGGCTCACAGGTGTGTTACTGAGGGCCATTCACAATCTTCCTAAGGAAGAATTACTTATCAGAAAGAATACCATAGCAAACAAATTTCAAATACATGAGTATGGGAAAAGTCTATGAAATTTACAGAGCTGAGGATATTCTCCTTCCCTCTCCCTTTCTCGGATTTCTGCCTCCTCTTTGTAGTCCTGGGACTGAGGAAAGGGTTTGTTGTTGAAATCTTTGCATTTCACTGTGGAACTCTCCCCATCCTTGAAGCCTTCCTGCACACATGCACCACAACAGTCTCCAACCAACTTCTTCCTACATAATACCTTGTGAGACTTGGGTTTGTGGCTACTGCCTGTACCATACTTGTTCTCATGGTCAGAGTCCTTACACAGAAGATATTGCCTATAGCCTCAGAAATGGGAACAAAATATGAAGTCCAGAGAAGTGCTGAGCAGAGGTTTTGATGCTGAAGGAGATGGTGGTGAATTCAGGAAAGGTACCTATACAATGGTACATTTCTGACTTCATCACATGTGAATTACTGCAGTCTTCAAAACAAAAGTCCTCAGGATGCGTCTTTTACACCAGACACTTGGAGAGGTTGAGACGCTGAGATGCTGTGCTGAGCAGGCTGGAAGGAGAGGCGTGGAGCTGGGGCCACGAGCTGCATGGTATATTTGAACTTATTTGTGGATGAATAACTGCATGATAGTCATCCTTCCTCATCTTAGGCATTATAATGGAGATAGGATAAAGAGTTCCCTTTCCTCTCCTTTGAAACCATGGTTTCTGCCAGGGCAGATGAACCCTCTTCTACTTCACTGTTCAGCTCTTACAGTTTTGCCTCCTACCTTACTGACAGGTGTGGGAATCCCCTGTGCTCCTGCACAGAAATTGGGTAGGTTATAAAACACCTACACAAAGACCCAGCAGGAATCAATGGCAACACCAGGCAAAGAAACCAGTTAGCTCAGCAGTGCCTACAGAGCTCCAGACCTGCTCCCTCTGGTTGTTGGAGGAGAGCCATCAGCCACAGGCACCTGGTGAACTCCACTGAAGAGTTAGAGGGGCCACCCCCCCCCAGAAGGACCTGCAGACTGTGGGGGTGAGCATCCACAGGGGCATGAGACTCATGAGGGCTGCAGGGGAATAGCATTTGTGGATGTTGTACCACTTATGAAGTATATTAAGGGAGTTGTGGCAATGTGCAAGAATTAGTATGGGATATTTAGGGGAAGGATCAGAGGAGGTTCTGCTGCGGGAACTAATGTGAGAAAAAATGGGGATCAAAGATGCTGGTCTGGGTGACATCTGCCAGTCAGTATGTTCCGAGGACCGAGACCTGCACCTCATCACCACAGCCTACAATCTTACTAAATATTCCTGCATAATAATAACTATTTGCTACTACTGACACTAATTACTCTGACATTCTCTACACTGACTTTCTATGTGGGCACACCCTCTATTCTGAGCACATGTGAGAGACCACCAGCAACCTTCAAGCTCGATGAGCGGGCAGCAGCACTTGAGCCCAGTGCCGGCAACTGGAATGGAATCCCAAACCTCAGAGGCTGGAGGGTGCCACTGCCACCACTTGGGGAAACTGGGGCCTGAGGCCAGCTCTGGTGCACACTGAGTAGCTAATGCCAGCTACCAGAGAGACTCATTTTCCATGTGTGAGTACAGATTTCACTGGTGGAGGCCAATGCTGATCAGCAGGAAAGGAATCATACTGTTCATGTGTGTGTGAGCACTGTGTGTGTGTGTGTGAGTCTATGCAGGTGTAGGCACAGTGTAAAGGCACTGCTCTCTGTGTTCATCCGTGGCTGGCAATGTGTGTGTGTGTTTGCGTGCGCTCATGTTTGTACCCCCTGGTAACACGTTCTCAGCCTTGCTGCAGGCTGAACCTGGAGCAAGGAGGTGCAGTAACCTTGCATCAGCTGGATGGTGGCAGGAAGAAACCCCCAGGGTGCTGTAGCCATGGGATCTGGCTACCCTTGATAAAACAAGACAAGAAAAATGTACACTGCTACTTGTGCAAGCACAGATTCAAGGTTTAATGCTGTACAACTTTGTCGATGCTGCCATATGGTGGGGACTTGGGTTACTGACAGCAGAAGACTCTCAGGTCATTGAGAGCTGTGTCATCCCTATTTCCCTGGGGCCCCTCCACCTTTGTTTGGAGCCCACAGATAGCCCCAGAGGTGCAGTTGCTGCTCCATGGGCCAAAGTGACCCCCTGAAAGTCCCCAGCCCTCCAGCTTTGTTCCGTTTGAGCAGGCGAACCTCACATTGTTGACTGCTGTGTTGTCACGAAAGAACTGCCACTTTTCCACACGCAGGGAGAAGGAAACCAGCTTGTTGCTGGAGCAGAGCTGGGCCTCAGTCCAGTTTCCCCACCTGCCAGAGAAGAAAACAACTTGCCAAGACTTTGTTCAGCCTCTGCTGTGCTGCAATCAACACCACAACGTGCTTGGGATCCTGGCAGTCCTGGGGCAATCCTGCACCCCCACACAGAGATGGCAGGTTTCTAGGAGCACCTGTTTCTCTCTGCTTCTCCATCATTCCCTGGATGCCCAGACACCATCAACCCCAGGCTGCTCTGTTCCTGCACAACCCCTTGGCAATTTCAGCTGCTTGCTTTGTCCCTGTTACTTGATGCCCTTTTCAAAGTAAGCGTTTGAGGAAAAGGAGAAAGTACAGGTTTAAGAACTGCATCTTTTTGAACTCTCCTTCATCTTTGACAGCACTGTTCCTTTCCCTGGGACCAGATCTTTTCCGTAAGACCTTCACACTTTGTGGTCAAGGGGAACTCACCCACCTCTGCAAGCAGGTGGTGAACCACCTTCACAGGGGAATGTGGGCTACGCAGAAACCACTTGCTGCTTTTCCTTCATGCTTCCCAGAAGCTGCTGCCCTGAAGGAGGATGAGAAAGTGAAGATACTCACCATCCCACGGAGGACTCAATGACTGTGCCATCTGTGCAGAGCAGGCGGATGCCATTTAGAGCCGTGTCGTCTGCAAACAGCCAAAACCCCTGGTAGGGCTGGACCTTAGAAGAGGGGAAGAAAATAGGAGAGGTCAGTACCATCCCCCATTTAAAAGAAGTGATGAGGTGAACCCTCATGACAAGGGTTTGTAGGAGGCTTTGTGTACAGAGTGAGACAATGCAGCTGGGCAGGGCTGTGAGGCAGCTCCACAGCATTTCTCAGGAAGGTCTTTTTGCTGTTGCCCACCTCTTTTTTTCTCCAAATGGTGGGTCAGAGGCTCTGGACACAGGAATGCTGTGTGGCTGCTGTCCCAGGTCATGCCCACACTCTCACCATGTGCTATGATACCCAAAGCTGTTGTGCTGTTAGGTGGGACTTCTTCCACACACCCAGGAACAGGATCTGCTGAACTGACTCCAGGTCTTTTTTTTACCCAGTGGACTCCTCTGCTAAGAAATCATTTACTGGCAGGGAGCCTGGAGAGCTACTCCATGCTGGAGAACTCTTGCTGAGAAACCTGCATGAGAAATGCAAATACAATGCAAACTGCTGCGATGGGACAAAGTGTTGTGGCCAGCCCCGCTAGGACCAGAACAAAATAACATTGTTTCACAGCAGGTTTTTTCCCCCCTGAAGAAGAAGTGAAATCTTACCTTCAATTCAAATCCCCTAGCGTAGCCACTGGGGCAAAACTGTTTGTGCCCCCAGGAGCCCCAGGGGCCTCCGTTTGGCACCATGAGCACTGACTCATATTGTCGTGCCTCTGTGCCCTGAAGGCAGCAGGAGCCCAGCAGGCAGAGGACGGCTGGGACAAGCAGCTGCATTGCAGGGAACCTGCTCAGTGCCTCGCTACACGGAGGTGATGGCACAGGGGAATTTATTTGCCAGGAGAATGGGTGGGAGTCCTTGGGGAGTGTCTACAAAGCTCATGGGGAGTGCTCCTTGTTGCTATGTACTGCTCCTGGTGACTGCCTGTCCCTCAGTGGTGAGGCCACCTTTGCCAGGTGGAAGGGCTGTCACTGGTATGCACTGGTCATGGGACTTGCAGGGCTGTGAAAACTTGTGGATGTGAGGAAACGGAAGGGGGTCAGAGCTGAGACTATTTCCCAAGGGAGTGCTGTGGTTGGAAGAGGATCCTGACAATGCTGCCAGGAGGATGTTGGAGAGAGGGAGGTAGGAAGAGCAGTGGTGGACTGCAAGGGGAAGAAACCTCTGAAGGGGCTGAGGCAAAATTTGAGATGGAGCAGTCTCAGGGCCCTTTGCCTTGTGGAAGTCCTCACTTGTTTCCTCTTTGCTTTCCTTCTCTCCTCACCATCCCACTAAGATTGAGGAAAGCGCCTGCACAGGAAGCCATTGCATTTTGCTCTGGGACAGGCATTAAGTGTAAGTGACTAAGTGTGTCAAGCCCTACTCAGAGTGAGTGCTTCAGCAGCCATCCATCTCATCGAGCCTTTACTGAATTTAATCCAGGTTATTCACATCTTTCTTGCAACAGGGACCGGAGAATGGGAGCAAAACTGCATGCAGTCACACTATCCCATGGAGCTGTGCAGATGCAGCTCCCAGCTGCTCACGTGTATCTTTTGGAGATGTGAGCATTCAGAGAGGTGAGAGTGTCCAGCAGAAGCAGCCCCTACTTCTCCTGTTGTGCCTCTCTCAGATGTGAGTTCCTGTTGCATTCATTGTTCCTCCAAAGGAACTGGGCAGAGAAGCAGCAATATTGACAACAATATTCAAGGTATCCTGTGAGTAGTTGCAGAGTAGGATGAGCTGCTCCTAGTCCATTGAAGAGTCAGTGATGATGCCACCTGGAGATTTGTTTTGTGAGGTTTATATCACCGTTATATCAGAATATGTGAGTAGTGTATATATATATATCAGTATATACCAGCACTATAAGTGTAGCTAATACAGGGAGAAAGAGTTATTCCAGGCTTCAGTCAATGAAGAATGGAATAGCCTGCTTCTGTAAGAGCTGTTTTGTGCAGGTGCAGGAGGAAGTGTTGCTTTCAGCTGAAACCCTCTAAAGTTACCTTTTGGGTATAATTGCAAAAGTCTTCAGATAGTCACAGCATCTCAAAGGAGACAGTGAGAACAGAAATGTGTCATTGTATCATACACAGCATGAACATGTCAGGAAGAAGACAACAGCCATGAAAGGCTGGGTCCTGGTCAGGAGAATGGATAGCTCACAGATATTTTGTTACTTCTGGTGACATAGGACTTTCTAAGCTTGAGGTGCTGGCTGGATTTCCTCATAAGAGTGGCAGCAACCACAGCAAGAGCAATGGGCCCTTGCCAGGTTCCATGTGCAGTGAAGAGCTATGAATAAGTGATATTATCAACCCTCTTCATTAACCATGCTGACTGCAGGGTAAGGCTTTAGGGTATGTGGAAAGTTACAGCTTTGGGGTGGAGCAGTGTCAGAGACACCATACAAGGATCTTAAAGAGAAGCAGTGAAGAGGAACTAGGTGGAGGAGGACATCCTGAGCTGGCTGATACCAAAAAAGTAGAGATGTTTCACAGTTTGTAGTTACATCCACAGAGCTGAATCTTGCTCTGTTTAAGTCCCTCTTACTGATAGGGCCTGTTTTCTCTGCCTTCCACTTTCACACATCTTTTCCTGTTTCCTCTCTGTTAATCAGTCTGGGTTCCAGCCCCAACAGTTCTGCCACTGCTGGTGGAAGGACAAAGATTCTGACTGCAAAAAGACCCTGCTCAGCATCTTTCCTCATTTTTTGTTGTTGTTTTTGGCTGCCTGGTTAGGAGGTGGCAGGCAGTGGCACTGGGTCAGTGGTCATGGGATATTCCAGGAGCAAGCAATGAAAACTATTCACACAAGTAATTAAATGCCTGTGGGAGAAAGCGAACATTGTATGCATTTCTATAACTTCACAGTGGGAAGCAAGAAAACAAATAAAGAACTAATCTGAGCTTTATATTTCTCTCTCCTGTCTCATTGATTTTTGACTCTTCCAGAGTGATAAATCTTCTTCTCGAGTCAAAGAATTTCCCCTCCATCCTGCCATCCACCCCCCCACCTTTTCCCTACAGAAAACCTTCCCAGGTCTAGGAGGGGAATAAGGAATGGACTGAAATGAAGACAATGGTATCAGTATCAGCAGTTGAATTTGTGCTGCTGGAGTGCAAGGCCAATGAGTATTTTTGGGTAGATCTGCTCATATGCTGAGCTCCCCTGAGTATCCAGTGATGTTCCTAATATCCCTGTTAATCAGTATTCTGTTGTCTGAGGAAGCTCTCTCTCTTCACCCTGTGCTTGTTTTTCCCTTCAGTTAACCTCTGGTCCTCCAATCGGGCGGGAAAAGTACCAGGCTGCAAGTGCAGAATGGGTGGATTTTTAATTATGTTACATTGAAAACTGGAGTTTGAACTCAGTGAGTCTAGCAACTTCTATGCTGGTTAGGTATAGCTGCTAGTTGTAGGGTCATGTTATGTGACATATCCCATCTTCTTTTAATCAAACTATTGGAAGGCAGGATAGCATTAGACTCAATAGAAGCAATAGAAGTGAAGATATGATGGCTAATGCAGACCAAAGATCAGTTCTGTGTTTTTCAAACATATAAATTAAAAGGAAATATTTGGTTTTCTTTTTGGACAACTTGAGTCCTTCTCCCTATGACAAAAAAGAGCTGTGAGTTACAATGAAGACAAAATACTTGAGCAGTGCAGGTGCTCGAAATAATCAGAAATCAGAAGAATAGAAAAAGGTGATCACAGAGCCAAAACATCAAGATGAAAGAATGAAGTGCTTGCATTGCATGTATACATTTACATTGTAGATGTCTAAGTGCAGATTAGGTGACTCCCACTTTCTGTAGGCCAGAAGGTATTTTGTTATTTACTGCCCATTTATAAGATGAGGGGGCTTTCCAGATGTGTTCTCAGTTGAACTTCTCTAGCAACATAAACCTTCTTAGATGGTGGTGAGAAACAGCTACTTTAAGTTGCGTGTGGGCTGAAAACATTCTTGCAATGGCCCCTGTGCTGTTACTGGAGATAAAGCCAGCTAAATTGTTCCCACAGCTGAAAACTAAAGATAGTTTTTTTGATAAAGGACCTAATATCAAGAACTCTTTGATGCTGTCAAGGGGGTCAGTCAGTCTTTGAAACTGACCAACATATTACTCCTGTTGTTGTCATGTCAGTTTAAAAACAGATGTGGTGGTTCAAAAGGTATTTGCTCTCCCGTGGTCTCCATGGCTGCAGGGGCACAGCTGCCTCACTATGGTCTGCACAATGGGCTGCAGGGGAATCTCTGCTCCAGTGCCTGGAACACCTCTTCTTCCTCCTTCCTCCTTTCTTGGTGCCTGCAGGGCTATTTCTTTCACTAGTCTCACTCCTCTCTCCCAGTTTCTGTGCAGCATTTTTACCCTTTCTGAAATATATTATCACAGAGGTGCCACCAGCATCACTGATAGCAGTCACTGGAGCCAGCTGGTGTTGGCCCTGTCTGATATGGGTGGAGTTCCTGGCATCTTCTCACAGAAGCCACCCCTGAAGTTCCCCCACTACAAAGACTTTGCCACATAAATCTGGTACACATCGAGAGACCCCACTGTAGTATCTAAGCTGCAATAAGAGGCCCATAGTTACTCAGATCAATCTTCAAGCAAATTTTTAAAACTGACCACTGTATAGCTTTCCAGTAATTTTAAATGACGTTATCCATCACTGCTATGACCTTAGCTCTTCCATTTTAGAGACATCTTAGACCTCTCGAGTACTTCTTATCAGTTCTACTCATTCCTTGCTATTCACTCTGTGATTTTTTTATCTCTCCTCCAAAGTAATTTTGATTTCTACCTAATCTTTCTTATGACCCCTATCCCCTAAGAATGACTGGAACTGTCTAAACACGAAGTTTCTTCCACTATGAACGTTGAGCAACTAAATAATTTAAAATAGCCATATCTGCTGTAATCTTCTTTTATACTGTCAGCTGGTTCTACAGATTTTCTGATGGTCTCCTGAATCTTTGATGTGAAGAAACATTGATAGTGTTAATTCCCTTTGCCATTTGTTCCTCAAAGTGCTTT